GCTCTGCAACTTACCTGGCTGTTTCTTGCTCTGACTGAGGGCTGCTGGGAGCAGGGGGTGGGGCTTGTTGCATGTGCCCACCCCCTGGGCTCTTTACTGCCGGAGCTCCGTTCCTGTGCGCTTCTGCAGGAAATGACCCCTGGTTGAGGGAACCTGGCATACACTTCACTGACCTGGGGTAGTCCTTTTATGGGGAAAACTTACATAATTTGGCATGAGACTCATCTTTCCCAGGATTGGGATTGGTCCAAGAAATAAAGTTTGAGTTTCACTGGGCAGTGCCCAAATCTGGTGGGAGGGTAAGGAAGTAACACCTGATTTCCAAGATGGGAAAGTCTTAGCATATCAGTCAAATAACTGGGTGTGAAACAATGCCGGAACTTTCTTCTTAATGGCCATTCTGACTTGATGGGATGTTAGGTTGCTTTGGTGTATCAGAGCTGATATTTAAGGGTTATCCATTAACTGGACATTGTTCATATTGCTTGGATGAAGCACAACTTGAAGTGGGGATATGATCGTATGCACGCCTCGGAGCTGGGAGTAAAGAAATGCTTTAATGACATCCCGCCTTCGTGATGGAACGTGCTGTGGACGTGGCTGGCCAGATGCGCTCTCTGAAACTTATTGCAGGGATCCCCCATTGCACTTTAGGCTTTCAAGGGAGTGCCCTTCAAAACAACTAATATGAGACGAGATTGGGGATCAAATTGGGGTGTCTCAAATGAGGAGTGGACAGGGGGGGCATACAATATCAGCATCAGACCTAGTAGGCCATTCCTGTTGCCTAGTGGACTATTATGCCTCATCTGATACATCTCAGAGTTAGATTTGTCCTCCCTGTAACTGCATCACAACAGCTGTTCATATTCATCTTGCAATGCTAGCTGACCACAGACATTGGTTCTTCTAGCATTTCTGTCTGATGAGCTACTATATTATCGAAAGTTCTTTGTTATTCCCACCAGTTTGACTTTTCAAAACCTATTCTAATTCTGTGTCCAGTTCATGCTGTAGGATTTTCTTATCCTTTTCTCTCTGGTGGCTTCTAATTTTGTGTTGTCTGCGGATTTCATTAACATGTTCTCCTCTCCCAAGGGCACCAAGGAAAACACATAACAAAACAGGCTCCAAGATGGATCCCAGAGGTCACTGTTTACTTTTCTCCAGCATACAAACGTATGACTTATTCCCCCCCCCTTCTACTTCACTTACATGAATAAGAACATTGTAGAAGACAAAGTAGAATGAAAATAGATTTAAAGGAAAGGGATACTTGAGCCGAAAGAGAGAATTTTTAGTGTGATTCAAACTCCCCCCCCCTTCATGAAAACTATGCTTCTTCTTTACCCCAAAACAAAATTCAGGTTTTTCCCAGATTCTGCTTACACTACCATTTTTTGGTGTGTTTTCGGAACCACCCAGCATGGTGGGAATAGTAGGTAACATTTTCTGCTTTAATTACAATTAGGGTTACCAAGCCCCCTCACGGATCACTGCCTTGTCGTGGCGAGGGGGCTTGCGTGGTTTGATGAGGCTGTGGGCTATGCCGTGGAGGGCCACCCAAGACGGACAGGCCACAGCAGAGAACTCAGACCAAGTGTGATCCCCTGGAGAAGGAAATGGCAACCCACTCCAGTATTTTTGCCAAGAAAACCCCATGGACAGTATCAAAAGGTTAAAAGATATGATGCCGGAAGATGAGCCCCTCAGGTCAGAAGGTGTCCAATATGCTACTGGGGAAGAGCAGAGGGCAAGTACAAGTAACCCCAGTAAGAGTGAAGTGGCTGGGCCAAAGCCGAAAGGACGCTCAGTTGTGGATGTGTCTGGTGGTGAAAGGAAAATCCGATGCTGCAAAGAACAATACTGCATAGGAGCCTGGAATGTAAGATCTATGAATTAAGGTAAGCTTGACGTGGTCAAAAATGAGATGGTAAGACTGAACATCGATATCTTAGGAATCAGTGAACTAAAGTGGACAGGAATGGGCGAATTTAAATCAGAAGACCATTATATCTACTACTGTGGCCAGGAATCTCATAGAAAAAATGGTGTGGCCTTTATAGTCAACAAGAGAGTGCAAAAGTCAGTACTGGGATACAATCTCAAAAATGACAGAATGATTTCGGTCTGATTCCAAGGCAAACCATTCAACATCACAGTAATCCAAGTCTATCCCCCAACCACTGATGCAGAAGAAGCTGAAGTGGACCGGTTCTATGAAGACCTACAACACCTCCTAGAACTAACACCAAAAAATGATGTCCTCATCATCATAGGGGACTGGAATGCTAAAGTAGGAAGTCAAAAGGTAACCGGAATAACAGACAAGTTTGGCCTTGGAAAGCAAAATGAAGCAGGGCAAAGGTTAACAGAGTTTTGTCAAGAGAACACACTGGTCATAGCGAACACCCTTTTCCAACAACCTAAGAGGCGACTCTACACATGGACATCACCAGATGGGCAACACCGAAATCAGATTGACTATATAATTTGCAGTCAAAGATGGAGAAGCTCTATCCAGTCAGTAAAAACAAGACCTGGAGCTGACTGTGGTTCAGATCATGAGCTACTCATTGCAAAATTCAGACTTAAACTGAAGAAAATTGGGAAAACCACGAGGCCATTCAGGTTTGACCTAGATCACATCCCTGATGAATATACAGTAGAGGTGAAGAATAGATTCAAGGGTCTGGATTTGATAGATAGAGTGCCTGAAGAACTATGGACGGAGGTTCGTGACATTGTACAGGAGGCAGCAATCACCACCATCCCAAAGAAAAAGAAATGCAAGAAAGCAAAGTGGCTTTCTGATGAGGCTTTACAAATAGCAGAGGAAAGAAGGAAAGCGAAAGGCAAAGGCGAAAAGGAAAGATTTACCCAACTGAATGCAGATTTCCAGAGAACAGCAAGGAGAGATAAGGAGGCCTTCCTGAATGAACAGTGCAAAGTAATAGAAGAAAACAATAGAATGGGAAGGACTAGAGATCTCTTCAAGAAAATTGGAGAAATCAAGGGAGCGTTCCATGCAAAGCTGGCCATGATAAAGGACAAAAACGGTAGGGACCTAACAGAAGCAGAAGAGATTAGGAAAAGATGGCAAGAATACACAGAAGAACTATACAAGAAAGACCTCGATGTCCTTGACAACCACGACGGTATAATCACTGACCTCGAGCCAGACATCCTGGAATGTGAAGTTAAATGGGCCTTAGAAAGCATTACTAACAACAAAGCTAGTGGAGGTGATGGTATCCCAGCTGAGCTATTCAAAGTCTTAGAAGAGGATGCTGTTAAAGTTCTGCACTCCATTTGCCAGCAAATTTGGAAAACGCAACAGTGGCCACAGGATTGGAAAAGATCAGTATACATTCCAATCCCAAAGAAGGGCAATGCCAAGGAATGTTCAAACTATCGCACAATTGCACTCATATCACACGCTAGCAAGGTCATGCTCAAGATCCTACAAGCTAGGCTTCAACAGTACGTGGATAGAGAACTACCAGAAGTACAAGCTGGGTTTCGAAGAGGTAGAGGAACGAGAGATCATATTGCCAACATTCGCTGGATTATGGAGAAAGCAAGAGAGTACCAGAAAAATATCTACTTCTGCTTCATTGACTATGCTAAAGCCTTTGACTGTGTGGATCACAACAAACTATGGCAGGTCCTTAAAGAGATGGGAGTACCAGACCACCTCACATGTCTCTTGAGAAACCTGTATAAGGGCCAAGAAGCGACAGTTAGAACCGGATACGGAACAACTGATTGGTTCAGCATAGGAAAAGGAGTACGACAAGGATGTATACTGTCACCTTGCTTATTTAATATATATGCAGAGTACATCATGCGAAATGCTGGCCTGGATGAATCACAAGCGGGAATTAAGATTGCTGGGGAAAAGATCAACAACCTCAGATATGCAGATGATACCACTCTAATGGCTGAAAGTGAAGAGGATCTAAAGAACCTCTTGCTCAGAGTAAAAGAGGAGAGCGCAAAAGTGGGCTTGAAGCTCAACATCAAAAAAACTAAGATCATGGCATCCGGCCCCATCACTCCTTGGCAAATAGAAGGGGAAGTCGTGGAAGTAGTGACAGACTTCACGTTCCTGGGATCCCAGATCACCGCAGACTGTGACTGCAGCCATGAAATTAAAAGACGCCTGCTCCTTGGGAGGAAAGCGATGGCGAACCTAAACAGCATGATAAAAAGTAGAGACATCACCCTGCCAACAAAAGTCCGCATGGTCAAAGCAATGGTATTCCCAGTAGTCATGTATGGCTGTGAGAGTTGGACTATAAGGAAGGCCGAGCGCCGAAGAATAGATTCTTTTGAACTATGGTGCTGGAGGAGACTCTTGAGAGTCCCTTGGACTGCAAGAAGAACAAATCAGTCAATCCTCAAAGAAATCAACCCTGACTGTTCCCTGGAAGGCCAGATAATGAAACTGAAGCTCAAATACTTTGGCCACCAAATGAGAAGGGAGCACTCACTGGAGAAGACCCTGATGCTGGGAAAGATTGAAGGTCAAAGAAGACGGGGACGGCAAAGGATGAGATGGTTAGACAGTGTCA